GGGGGGATCCTCTAACATCTTGGGGGAATCCTCTAACATCTTGGGGGAATCCTCTAACATCTTGGGGGAATCCAAGGCAACTTCAGCTTTACAGCTTCTCGTTTCAGTGTCTAAGACGCACACATGATCTGCTGGGCTCTTCCAAAGGGCTTGGGTCGCATCTCCAGCTCTGACCTCTATAGCATTCCAGGGTCTGGCTGACTCCACTCCACTGCCGCTGCTGTTCCTGGTGGTCATCCCATGGTACTGGCATCTCTACCATGCTGGGGTTTCTCAGTGCAACTAGGCTTCACCAATAGCCTCTCATAGGCTCTCTTCATGGTGTCAAGCCTCAGCTCCTTGCATAACCACTTCAGTCCTGGACCATCAACTGCAACTGAGGCTGCACCTTCACCAATGGCCTTCCATGGCCTCTCTCTGTGCCAAGCCTCAGCTGATCTCCATGACCCCTTCATGTCTTCAAAACCAGTACCACCTGGGTGACTCTTACACATTACCAAGTCCAGCTGCAGCATGAGGTACAACCTTGGCTATCTCTGGAACACAGCTTCTTTGTGCTGTCAGAAAACACTTCCCAGAAGATTTCACCTCAGTGATGCTGGTTCTTCTTAATAATGGCTAATTTCTTAGCTCCAGCTAACCAGCACCAACTGTCCCAGTAGTCCCTTCTATTCTTGACTGTAAAGCCAGAGCCACATGGCTGAAGTTGCCAAGTTCTGCTGCTTGCTGGAGCTGGAACATGGCCCCTTTGTCCTATTACACTGTCACCAGCTTTCTGTTTTCCAACTCTTTCACTGCATAGACTTGGCTGTCCTGGAACTTGCTCTGTAGATAGACCTTGGATTCAGAGATCTGTGTGCCTCTGTCTCCTGTATGCTGGCATTAAAGGTGTCCACCACACCTGGACGCAAGCTTTTCTTCACCTAGAACTTTCTCGGTCCCAGGCTGGCCTTGAACTCAGAGGATCTGCTTGCTTTTCTCTCCTGGGATTAAAGGTGTGAACCACCATTCCTAGACCCCTGGTCTTCAAGGTCTGGATCAAAAATTTGTGTCCTCCGTTTTCTGGATTGCAGTTCATTTCAAATTTAAAGTACAAATGAAAATAATAACCAAGTCCCTTGTTCAACTGCAAAAGCATGAACAAGCTCAGATGGGTGGATTCTTGCATCAAGGTCACCTCTCTCTTAATCTGTGTATCTCCTTGAACAGAGGATTTGGCACCATTCTACGTCCTGGTGCCCCTTTCTTCTTTAAACCACACATTTTGTATTTGTCCTTTCGAAGCTCACTACACTTCATCAAGACGCTCTTCCTAAGAGTGAGCTTTAGTGACTATACAGCAGAACTTATAACAGGCTGTTTTGAGAATTCCTACGTCAAAGCAATTAAAATCTCTTTACCTTAGTCTCAGGTAGACTCTTCAGAAAAGGGCAAAAAGCAGCCGCATTCTTCACCAAAATATCACAAGAACAGTCTCTAGGCCACATAGTAACATTCTCCTTTAAAACCCTTGGGCCAGCAGGCCTCCACAGTTCTTATCACCCTCAGCACCAACGTCTTCCATGTTCCTCCTAGTATCACCCACTAAGCCCCACTTAAAGCCTTCCACTGCTTTCCAAAGTCCCAAGATGCACATTCCTCCCAACAAAAGCACAGCCAGGCCCGTCAGCACTACTCTAGTCCCTGGTACCAACTCCTGTCTTAGAGTTTCATTGCCGTGAAAAGACACCATGACCATAGCAACTCTTTCTTTTTTTTCATTAGTTAGTTATTTTATTTAGGGCTGGAGAGATAACTTCAGAGGTTAAGAGCAACTCTTTCTTTTTTTCATTAGTTAGTTATTTTATTTAGGGCTGGAGAGATGACTTCAGAGGTTAAGAGCACTGACTGCTCTTCCAGAGGAACGGAGTTCAGTTCCCAGCAACCTCATGGTGACTCACAACCATCTGTAATGGGATCCGATGCCCTCTTCTGGTGTTTCCAAAGAGAGGAATGGTGTATTCATATACATAAAATAATTTAAAAAAAAAAGAATTAAAAGTAGGCATGGTGGTGCATACCTTTAATCCCAGCACTGGAGCTCAGAGTGCGTGCGTGTTTGTGTGTGTGTGTATGTGTGTGTGTGTGTGTGTGTGTGTGTGACGCTGCACTGCACTGCACACAGGATGCAGTCTGCACCAGGCGCGTCTCACGTATGTATCATGGCAGAGTCCCCGCACTCGGCATCTTCGAGAGGGACCAGTGCTGACTGCAGTGAATATTCTCATAGCAGTTGGTGTGTGTGTGGTGGATTTCAGAAGATGGATTTCAGACGTATGACTGCCGGGTCAAGGATGAAAATAAACACCTCTGTCCTTGGGTAGAGACTGCGGTTCCCTCTGCATTAGTGAAGGTGAACAGGCCTGTGTCCCCACAGCCCAGACACCAGACTGCATTGGCAAGCCTTTGCCATTTTGCCGGCCTGATAGCGGACAGTTAGTAGGGTGTTCTTCCCTCATGGTTCTCCCAGTAGGAGCGCAGCTAAGTGTCTTCAGATCGAGTTTCATTCATGTTACTTGTTTTGTCAACTGACCTCATGGCCTTGGCATCTTTCTCTTCTTCATTTTGTTTTTTGGTGACGATGGGGATTCAATCCAGGCCTCCCCTGCCCTATGCAGATGCCCTACTACTGAGCTCATCCCTGCGGCTTGTTTAGTCTTGGGAGTTTATTTTTGGCTTGTTGTTTGTTTGTTTTGAGACAGGATCTCACACAGTAACCAAGATTGGTTGTAACTCATTACATAGCTCAGGCTGTCCTAGAACTCACGGTGATCTTCCGGCCTCAGCCTTCTAGGTGCTAGGATTGTGGGTGTGTACCAACCCTCCAAGGATTATCTATCTATCTATCTATCTATCTATCTATCTATCTATCTATCTATCATCTACTGTATCTCTGTATGTATGTATATATGTATGTATGTATCTATCTATCCATCCATCTCTCTATTTTGATTTTCTGAGACAATGTTTCTCTGGAACTCCATCTGTAGACCAGGCTGGCCTCACACTTGAGACCACCTGTCTCTGCCTCCTGAGCGCTGGGCTGCTTTTCTTTATGATGCTATTTTGGCCATGCAGAATGTTTGACTTTTATGTGGAAATTCATTTAAAATTTATTACTAACTTTTAGCTGAATAAACAATACCAACCAAACAATAAGTTTATCCATCTTGTGAAGAATTCGAGGTCACTTTTTCAAGTTTTGTTTTATTATCATTACTGGGGACAGGGGGTGCCACTGTATGCATAAGGAGGTCACATGATGGCTGTCGGGAGTCAGCTCTCGCCTTCCACTGCAAGTGGCAGAACTTGAACTCGGGTCATCGGGCCTGTGTTGGCAATCCACTGAGCCTGTCTCATTGAGTTACTATTCCCAGTCATGCTCGTCCTCCTCCAAAGGCTTCAGATAGGCAGGGGTATCCAGGTGACTTTTCCACCGTCTGTCCTTGTATAAACCAAGTTACTGAAGAGCCACAGCAAAGGCGCGTGAGTTTGTGGGTGCTCTGCTGTTGAGCCGAGAGGAGGCTCTGTGTGTTGCTTCCCATGCTGGGTACAATGACTCTTCTTGCATGCAGCGTAGGTCAGGATAGACTCCCAGCAACAAGGCCCCTTGGTAGAAAACACATCGAAGATTCAGCATATTGTTCTAGGGATGTGTCTCAAGGCCTGACAGGGTGTGACTGCCAAGCTTGAAGCCCTGTGTTTGACCCCCTGCACCACAGGAAGGGGAGGGAAAAGGTCTTTCAGGAAGCTGAAGCATTTAGGCTATTGAGTGATCATCGGGCGAGTGGCAGGTACAGGGCTCCATCCCCAGCCTCCATTTTTACAACATTTTTGAGTTTTGAGACAGGAGGGACTCACGATGTCGCCCAGGCTAGCTTTGAACTTGTGCTCCTCCTTCCTTAGCCTCTGCTATTGAGACATCACGCCTGGCTGGCTAAGGATTCCTTTTAAACAATCACATCTTTACTGTCTTGTCCTACGCATGCCATCAACCCACCCGTCAGAAACTTCCAGCATGGTGGCTGTGAGGAGATTGGGAGAATGGTGTAACTGTCACCAACTGTCACTTTAGAACATCACAGTCACCCCGAGAAAGAGCCCCACAGCCTTCAGCAGTCTCATTTAGCACAACCATTTAACAGAAACATTAACCCCGTGTCTGTCTCTGGAGATTGGTCTGGTCTGGACACCGCTTATCACGTGTGAGCACACAAGGCCTTCCTTTCATTCAACAAGCCACAAGGACATTATCACTCCTAACCAAAACCACACCATAAAAATAAAATGAAGAGCATCCACGACTAGGGCTGGAGAGACCGCCCAGTGGTTCGGAGCACCGGCTGCTCTCAAGGAAGCTGCAGGTTCAATTCCCAGTACCACATGGTGGCTCTCAGCCATCCTTAACTCTGTTTCCAGGGGAGCCAACGTCCTCCTGGCTTCTGTGGGTCCTGCACACATGCAGGGCACACACCTTCATGCAGACAAACAGTTGTACACCTGTAATAAAACACATCCTTAATTTAAAGAAAGGGCCTGTCCCACAATTCTTTTCTTTTAGCTTTTTGAAAGATCACTGAGCCTAAGCTAGCCCACAACTCACAGAAATCCTTCTGCCTCAGCCTCTGAAGTGCTGGATTCCAACTGGATGGAATTGTTTGCTTGTTTGTTTACTTATTCTTACTGTTTGTGAGAGAGAGAAAAAGAGGGGGAGAGGGGTGTGTGTGGGGTATGTGTGCACGTCCAAACATGGGAGGCTGTTAGTGTTATTTTAAAAGTGTTGAAATTTTACTCTTAACCCAGCTAGCTCCCAAATTAATTTTTTTTTTTTAATGTATAGCTCAGGCTGGCCTCAAACTCGTGATCCTCCTGCCTCTGCCTCCTTCAGCAAATCCTACCGGCGTGTGCCACCACAACCGGCACTCCCAAGTTATTAAGAGTGAACTATTCTATTTATTTAACAAGTTTCTTTTTACAGATTTATTTATTTATTTTATATGAGTACACTGTTGCTGTCTTCAGACACACCAGAAGAGGGCATCAGATCTCATTACAGATGGTTGTGAGCCACCATGTGGTTGCTGGGAATTGAACTCAGGACCTCTGGAAGAGCAGTCAGTGCTCGTAGCTGCTGAGCCATCTCTCCAGCCCTACTTCATAAGTTTAAGGGCCCAACAACTGAGCACCTCCCAGCCAGAACCCCAAAATACTTGCTCTTCAGTACTGATCTGGCTCTCTGGGCTCCAGCTGTTTTTTCGCGGTCTCTCCTGGACCCTGTCCTCCGGGCTGGATCCTCCTTTCCTCTCCCTGTCTCTCCCTCCTCCCACTCTGGGAGGAAGTCCAGCCCTATTCTCTCCCTTGCTCAGTCATTGGTTGATCAGCTAGCTTTATTGACCAATCAGGAAATAATTGGGGAGCAATAGGGAGACAATCCTATCTCAACAAGGCTGAGATAGGAGATTCTCAGACTAAGGATCACAGCCAGATATGAGGGCAGAGAAACCAGCGTTTGGATAACACAAGGATCATCTTTACACAACACACAGTAATATGCCTTCAGGAGGTCAGCAGACGTGTTCAGAGCTATTGAATTGTTTCTCTTCGCCCACCTTTCTGTGGGTGCCGGGGACTGAAATCGGGTCACCAGGCTTACCCAGCAACTGCCTTTATCTGCCGAGCCATCTTGCTGGTTCCCTTTTTTGAGTTTTTTGAGACAGATTCTCAAGTAGCCCAGGCTGGTTTCAGTCTTGCTATGTAGCTGAGGATAACTTTGACTGCCTGCTCCACCTCCTGAATGCCGGGATCCCGGGCATTATGTCATTGACTATCTAGAGCTGGGGGATCGTGGGGGTGGGGGTGGGGTGGGGGTTCCAGCCCCAGCACTGAAAATAAAAGGCTCAACTATGTAGTCAGAATTCCAATTCTTTTTTTTTTTTTTTTCGAGATAGAATTTCTCTTTATAGCCCAGGCTGTCCTGGAACTCGCTCTGTAGACCAGGCTGGCCTCGAACTCAGAAATCCGCCTGCGACAGAATTCTTTTTTTTTTTTTTTTTTGGTTTTTCGAGACAGAACTCCAATTCTTAAATTCCCAATACTTGGAGGTCTTTTGTGACAATTTCTTTGAATCAAAAGTCATGCAAACATTATTGTTGTACATTTCTTTAAATCTTAATCTATCTTCTTCTATCCCGTATCTTCTCAGTCCCGGGCTTACTATTATTTGAGACAGGTTCCACCATGGCGGACCTTGAACCCCACTCAATCATTTGCCTTGGTCTTCTGAGTTTGAAGATTTTAAGCATAAGTCACACACATAATGTATACATATGGGTGTATGTACTGCCACGTGTGTTGGATCTGTGTGTATATGTGTGTACCCCATGTGTGTTGGATCTGAGTGTGTATATGTGTGGGCACCTCCAGGTATGCTGAAGCCAGAGGATCACCTCAGGAGCTGACCGTCTTGTTTGTTGAAACAGGATTGTTCACTGGCTTAGAACTGACCAATTTGGCTAAACTGCCTAGCCAGTGAGCCCCAGGGTTCCTTCTGTCTCTGTGTTGAAGCTCTGGGATAACAAGCAAGCATTCAGCTTTTTAAAATGAGTTCTGAGGCTGGAGACGGCTCAGTACTTAATATTACTGGCTACTCTTGCAGGGGACCTGGGTTGAGTTCTCAACACCCACACGGCAGCTCAGAACCGCCTGTAATTCCACTTCTAGGGGATCTAAAATCCTGTGGCCTCCAAGGGTATTGTAAACACATGCAGGCTAAACACCCATACAACCCATACGCATAATTTCTTTTCCTCTGAGGATTGAACTCGGGCCTTTGTTCTTACAACCCAAACACATTACTGACAAAGTTATGTCCCTGGTCCTAGCTCTTCTGTTTATGGTGTTTTGTCTGCATGACACACAGGGGACAGAGGAACATACTGTGCACTGTGGATGTGCCTGGTGCCCAGGAAGGTCAGCATAAGGAGTCAGGTGCCTGGACCTGGAGTTTCAGAGGTTGTGAGCCACCCTGTGGGTCCTGGGAACCCAACCTAGGTTCCTCTGCAAGAGCAGTCAGAGCTATTGATGGCTGAGCCATCTTTCCAGCCCTTGCAATTTTTTTCTTTTTTTTTTTTCTTTTTTTTTCTTTTTTTTCTTTTTTTTTTCTTTTTTTTTCACCCTTGCAATTTTTTAAGGGAAGAAATCCACATACATATCAGTTAATCCAAAATATTATTTCAGCATTCTGTGTTTATCCCATGCCAAGCCTCCAGATTGTTAGAGCCCCCAGGTACAGAGTCTTTCCCACTCTGGATCTGGCCTCACCATCTTTCTCTGTCACTTCATGTGTTCTTCTGTCCCCCGTGTGTCCTGTCAAGTGAGATTTGTCATAGACGTGTCATCAGAATCTGTTTGGGAGGCTGTTATTATTTTATTTGAGCTTTTCCCCTCATAACCTTCCACCCGGCAGATGAATCTCCTTGCCACCCTGTCTTCATCCTGTTGGGAGCTGCTGACGGTGAATATATCCTGATATGTAAGCTCCTTGGAGATGGGACATGTTGATATTTAGATCTCTAAATGTTTACAAACACCGTAACAAGCGTTCATTCATTTCCCAAGCAAATCTTTGCATTGCACAATGCGCCTTGCAGCTGATGATTGAAAAGCATTGTTCAGAATTAGTTTTAAGAGAACTTGACACTTCTCTGAAAATGGAGCACACTTTAAAACTGTCCCATCTTCAAGGCGTTTCGTGTGTTTGACAGATTTGGATATATCTGCTTTTCTAGCTAAGTGCAGTGGCCCACACGCGTAAACTTCAGAGGTGGGATAGGAGGATCAGAAGTTCAAGGCCAGCCTTGGCTACAGACAGTTTAGAGCCAACCAAAGCTACCTGAGACCTTGTCTTTAAAACCACAAAAGTGAAATAAAAAGAAGATATATTAGATTTCCATTATTATGACAAAATACCCAAAGCAATTAACTTATAAAGAGAAAAGGTTTTTTTGTTCCTGATTCTCAGGGTTTGAGTGCAAGATCAAACAGGCCCATTGTATATGGTTTCTGGGGAGCCCAGACTTTCAGGAAGGGGTATGTTGCAAAGCAAAGACTGCAACCAGGAAGTAGAAGCTAAGCAAGGAGGATTAGGTGTTTTGTCTGCAATCCTCTAATCCATTTAAGCATTCCACCAATGGCCTAAAGCCCTTTCACTAGGTCCCACCCCCTAACTGGCCACACACCTTCCAATAGCGCCACCTATAGGTCAGATCTTTAACACCATGACCACTGGAGGGGGGGCATTTCAAAACCATAGCGTTGGATGAGGCCCCCACTGGGTGTCAGCCACTCCCTTAATCGTGAGAGCATACCAGTGAGCAAAATAGAGACACCCCACTCAAATCAGAGGGTGGGCCACGTGAAAATAAGTTAAACCGAGCCTGCGAGTGGGGTAGCTGGGAAAAGCCCTTCTAGGGGAGGCGATGCAGATGTTGATATCTGAGGAGCGTCACACGAAGGTGAAGAGAGTTCGGTATCCCCTGCAAATGGACAGCAAGTGAAGGCTGGAACACGGGCAGGCAGGAAGGAAAGCAGTGAGGCTGCAGAGGTGGCCCAGGAGAAAGGAAGAGGCAGAGTCTCGGAGGGGAGCGGCAGGCTGGCAGAGCCTGGGGGCGGCTGGCAGAGCCTGGGGGCGGCTGGTGGGGCCTGCGGGCAGCAGGTGGGCTTTGGCATTTAATGTATATCTTGCACAGCCAAGGGAGGGTTCTGAGCAGAGGGGTCAGACCTGGAGCGGGTGTTTTCAGAGTCCCTCCCACTTTGTGTAGAGATAGAGGTATAGCGAGGAGACCCCGGTAATGGTGGGAGACAGAGGAAGTGAGGACCACGGGGGAAGAAGACATGAATGGGCCCTGCATCTATTCTGAAAGCAAAGCTGACAGTTTTGCTGAGGAATCTGATGTGGGCAATCAGACAAGAGAGGGCGAGCAGATATGACTCAGATTTTAACTTAAGCACGTTGGGTGGGTGGGGGCTGCCACTCCTGAAATGCATAAGGCTGGGGAGCTGGGCCACTTTTCTAAAGTTCACTTCTGGATTCAGATGTAATCCCAGCACTCTGGAGGTAAAGCCAGGAGGACTGCCAAGAATCCAGGTCCAGCCTGCTCTATATAGGAAGTTCCAAGCTAGCCAAGGCTACATAGTAAAGACAGTCTTAAATAACAAACAGAAAGAAACCAAGTTACTTCTGAGCACTTCTGGTCGTGGTGGCAGGGAATCCACCAAGATGTGTCAGTTGTCACATCGGTCAAGATTCTGGAATGTGGTCAGAGCCCAGATGGGACACTTGACAATCATGTGCACAGTGATGTTTGGAACCTGCGATCCCAGTGTTATCTCATGGGAGGTGGAAAGCAAGAGAAAGTGCAGTTCTCAGTCCTGCCCCCACCCCACCCCCTCCAGCCTCTCCGGGTCTGGAAGTGAAGGTGACTCCAGCGAAGCAGGTTGACAGTGGCCAGAGAAGGTGTTACAAAAGAAGGGACATGTGTACGATCCCAGGTCCCCATGTGAGGCAGGTGCCACTCATCCTGGGGTGGGGGTTGCTGCAGGAGACATGACAAGTTCCTGTGTGACTGAGTCTCCTTGCTCTGTGGTTTTAGAGCCTTTTATCATTTGCAAAGCCTGTTACTCATTTAGAAAGCATTTTTGCAAAGCCCTTGGCTTTTCACCAAGGACAGCCCGGAGCCAGGAAATTTTGCTTCTGTTTATACCCCAGAGGTGCGTCCCTCTGTCTGCATCCTGCAGCCCATCTGTAAATCGATCTGGAACTTCACCTAGTAAAATATGATCGGCATCTTTCAATAGAAAACAGAAGGCTGAGAACTGGTGCATAGCTGAAGTCAGAATTGAATTGCCTCTTGAAAATTTGTTTTTGGTTTTGGTTGCTTTTTTATTTTTTATTTTTTTGTCTTGTTTTGTCTGGGTTTGGTTACCAGAATTGCATAAACTGGGCATGGTGGTGCTTGCATGTAATCCCAACACTCAGAAGGCTGAGCCAGGAGAATTGGAATTTAAGGTCAGCTTTGGCTATGTAGTGAGTTTTGGGCCAGCCTGGGCTGCATGATACTTTGTCTTAAAAAAAAACAAAAAAGCAAAGTAAAACTAAACAAGACAAGACAAAAGATAACAAACAAACAACGAGAAGCTAACATTGTGGCAAATCCCTTTAACGCTCAGGAGGCAGAGGCAGGTGGATCTCTATAAAGTTAGATGCCAGCCTGGTCTACAATAATGGGTTCCCAGACAGCCAGGGCTACATAGACTCTGT